AATTGAATATTCAATTGATGATACTGAAGAAGAATTAATAGTCATATTTGAATAGGACTCTTTTAATACATCACTTTCTAATGGTTCAATCGGAATTTCAATAACAGGAAGAATCTTTAATAATAATAATAATAATGAAAAGAAAAATTTAATATACACGAAAAAAAAAGCTTATATATATTTTTTCTTCTTACTCCTTCGTTTTGTTTTGGTACAGACTGATTTAATTGATTCTCATCATAATTATAGAAATGACTATATTGAAATTCTTTGGCATAAGATTGTGGAAGATTATAACCTTCTGGTGGAGATTCAAAAAACAATTCAACACGAAGTACACCTTGTTTTGGCCAATGATTGTGATGTATTAAAAGAGTCCTATTCAAATATGACTATTAATTCTTCTTCATTATCATCAATTGAATATTCAAGTAAATCAATAATGAAAAATGAAGCAATAGAAACTGCTCAAATTATTGATGATAATTCTTTATCAGATTCACAAGATAATCATGATGATGAATCTTTATTTGATTATTTATTTAATTTTGATTGGCTTAAACAATTATTAATTGAAGAATATTATATTCTTGAATATTCAATTGAATATGGATTTTTACGTTTATCACCAGAAACAAGACAAAGACTTAATATTGAAGTTTTACTTGTTACATTGGGTAAAAAAAAAAGAAGTATTAAAAATTTGATTTATCATTGATTGAAAACTCAAAAAGAGATTCATCACTATCTTTTAACAAGTTCTTTTTTTTGTATTATCCAAAGTTCATTTGTGTAATACACCTAGAGATAAGAATTTAAAAACTGACTCCTCATATAAGAATTCTATATTATTCAAGTGCTAATAAAATGAATAGATACAATTACAGTAACACCTATACATGATATGTCATCATAAAGAAAATGTCAATAGCATAAATACACCTTTGTTATCTCCCATTGTTAATCGAATATTAATATAACTAAAAACTGTTGCCAAAATAATAATAATCATTATTTTATTATTTAACGAAAAAATAATA